AAATGAATCTCATGCCATTACATTTTTTTGTTTAAGGCAGCTGGTCAGACTCCTTTTGGTTCTGGGCCCGCTGATGTTGAGGGTTCCTATGGGGTCCCAATGAGGGTGTGGCCAGGAAGTGGCTGAATATCCTGGTCTGGAGCTCAGGAGAGAGACCTGGGCTGGGCACAGACATGCGGTTGAAGCCTTGGCAGTATATGTGGTCTTCTGGGAAGGAGTATGGACATAGAACGGTACAGAAGAAGACTGTGGACAGATTTAGGTGGAAGTAGGGAAAGTGCCAGAACAGGAAAAAGCAATCGGAAGATAAGACTGAGAATGGCGGTCATGAGAAGCCAGAGACAACCAGAGAACACAATGCTGAAGGCAAGGACTGGGAGTCTGAGTAGGCAGTGGCTGTGCAGTGGGGAGGCTGTCACCAGTGGAGGACTTTGCAGTGTCAGTGGAGCAGGGAGTGAGGAAGGAGGTGGAGAGGGAAACAGTGCTAACAGCCCTTTCAGAAAATTCATCGGGAAGGAGAAGAAAGAGCAGGAGCCCAGAGAAGCCTAGAGGCCTGGAAATGTGTTTCACCATGACTGATGTTGTTATTACTATCATCCTATTACTAACATTCATGGAGAGGAAGGGAGTGAAGGTGCAGAGGGGAGAGGAGGCATGAGGGCAAGGCTTCTGAACAGGGCAAGGGATGGGATCCAGTGGCCAAGAGGAGAGCAGATCCCCCAGAGAAAAGGGCCTCTCTTCCAATGAAGCCAAGGAAGGGAGAAGACGCCGGTGAATTTGCATATTTGGTGGCAGAAAGTTTTCTTCTCACAGCTTCTGTTTTCTCCCTGATGAAGCCAGGGAGCATCCACATAACCGACTAGAGGCCCCAGAAGAAGCTGGCAAAGGATTGTACAGGCTCGTACTCTTTCATATCCAGTTGACCTCAGCAGACAACTCAAAGCCAAGGACAGACTGGGCCAGATCAGGGCCTGGTGCCCTTGGGAGGGTGTGTGTGGCAGCCTAGGGACAGCTGAGTGGCTCACCCAGGATGCAGGGCCACCAGTCTCAGCCCAGCCCTTTGTCTCCTTCTAGAACCACCCCGTCTCCTCTGGTCAATTTTAACTTAATAATACTCAGATCAGTTCCATAGCATAGACCTTTTTTAGGCATTAGTGACTGGAAGAGTTTTGTTCTATTACTTCACATTTTCCAAACCCACTTCACACAGATGGAATCTCTTGTAATCCTATAAGGCCAAACACAGAAGAGGAAGAGTGCCAAGGAGGTTGGGCCCAGGACTTGTTTTAGTGCAGATAGAATGACCTTATTTCTTTTGACATCCTGATAAATCTTTCTGCCCTGAATTTGGGAGATTTCAACACTGACGAATGCTCACACTCCATTCATTCAACAAATGTTGCTTGACATCTGCAGTGAGCCAGACCTGTGACCTGCATGTCACCTCCTCTGCCAGGCTTTACCTCTTTGAATCTCTGCCATCAGTCTGTGGAGTTGATTTCAGTGGCCCTATTCCATCTGTGATGAAACCAGTGCCAGCAGAGGTTAACTTGCCTGGGATAACCTAGGAAGTAGGTTGCCGGGCTGGAATTCAGAGCAGGGTCTTCTGGCTCTTAATGCCTTTGCTCCTTCCATTTCATGAAAGAACCCCTCAAACATAATGTTTTACTCTGTTGAGGCTTTAATTTTAAATGTTACGTGACTCTCAGTGCAAAAGGTTCTTTAGGGAATTGTCAAAACCCAAGAAGTATATAAAGAATTTATGAATCAGGGTCTTAGAAATGTTCTAATCAAATAAATATAGGGCAGATGTATTAAGTACTTGCTTTGGTTCCTAATAAGCTCATGACATCAGCAAAGTGAGAGAGAATTACTAATAGATTTTGTTAATAATCTAAGATCACAATGAGAGCGTGGTGTGGGGGAAAGATGAGGGTGTTTTGAGCTCATGCTGAGTCTGACAGCAGTGTGACCCTGGGAAGGGGAAGGAGAGAACTTTTACTGAGTACTTGTTCTATGCTATGTGCTGTGCATATCTTAATCTCATTTAATCATCATATTGAGCTTCATAGATAAATACAGTATCATGCCCATTTTAAAACATGAAAATTGAGATTCTGAGAAGATCATGCAGCTGGAATGTGGAGGCTGGGATAGGGCTGGGTCTGTCTAATTCTAAATTGGATTACAGACTCTTAATTAAATGTGTACACATAAAATATGTATGTACACATACATATGTGTATATAACTTTTGCTGTTTATTAAAGAATTCGGGGAAAAAAACAAGAGCAACTGTCAGCTAGAGATTGGGGAGCAATCATGCCCCAGTCCTTGCTTGCCAGGTTTATGAATTCTCTTTTCTATCTGATTATAACCCATACCTTTCCAGGACTGGTTTTAGGATCCACAATTAAACTTGGAAAGGGCAGTGATACACATTTGCAAAAACAATTGAAGTCTATTCTAAAGGGGAAGAGAAGTCAGTGTAACTGAGGCAGGTCCAGTACACATTTTCTAGGACAAGGAGAATCATGGTAAACAGGTAAAGCCTACATCTCAAAGAGGTTCACACCTACTTTTGAAAAAGAAACAGGATCAAGGTATTCCTTTAAGAGGAAGAATCCTGAGCCTCCTTCCTCTTTTCTAAATGCAAGTGGTAAGAGTGGTGTGAGATGAAAGGTGATGTGCTGAGGCCAGCCTGGACTGTTATGCTGGGGGCTCTTGATGAATGGTAGCACAAGTTAGCGTCCTTGTCATTACTATTACTTGGAGTCTACACTGAAGGTGTGAAGGACTTGGCAGGGTCAAGGGTGATCATGTTTTCCATGTGGGTGACCAGAAGGAAAACGGTGCATTTGCAAAAGGGAGGCAGCTGGAAAGGGAGTTGTGTATGCGCAGCCTCTGCTTGATCGCCGAGTGCTCTCAAGTCCAGGCCATCGGATCTTGTATCCTGAGCTTCCATCGCCTCCAGCCAGGCTTCACACAGTGCCTGCTCCTCTGTAGCTTATAGTTGGGTCCTGAGAAGCATTTGAAGGGCATGGCACTTGAGCATAGCAGCTCAGCCAACAGATCTTGTCTCTGGACATTGCTACTACCCTCCCTGACTTCCTAGTAGACCCTTGTTCCAGCTGGTGGGCAGCTGGCTCTCACTAAAGACCTTATTAAAATTCCAGATGTGTAGCAAAAAAAAAATGTTAATAATAGGAAAGCCTGATATGAATTAAAAGGAAGGCTTATAACTCAGGGGGCAGAGAACTTTAGTCTGCCTCCTTTCTTCCATTCTTTGCCAGGACTCCCAAGCCACAGGCTGACCACACTGGGCATTGCAGTAGTAATGGATTTTTCCTGCTTCTCTTACACATTCCAAGTCATCCTGGTAGAGTGCTCCTGTTAGCTCCTTTGGGTAGGAACCAGCCTCACTGATAGATAAAATTTAGGTAATTTGATGATTCAGATTGTAACGTTAAACCTGCTGTAAAAGAAGAGACAAGGCCCCTGAAGAAGATGTTCAAGGGAACCTCTTCTTCTGCTTCACTGTTGGTTGTATGAGATAGAGGAGGGGCCAACTTTGGGAAAGGGTGTGAAGTAATACCAGAAGCTTTTCTGACTGCAGTGGGCTTGGGCCAGAATGTTCTCTGATTCCAGGAATGGAGGATGTCACGTGGCCGATGAGCTGTGCGATCCTTTAGCCATATTTTAATTTTAAGTTCACTTGGGGGGATGAATCCTGCTAGCTAACACATCATGCCCTCTCTCAGATAGTTTGCTTTGAGAAGGACTTCTGGTCCCAGGGATGCTGGCAGAGAGGCAGTTTATGGTTAAGAATATTTTGGCACAATCAGGGAAATACAAATCAAAACCACAATGAGATACCACCTCACACCAGTGAGAATGGGGAAAATTAACAAGGCAGGAAACAACAAATATTGTAGAGGATGTGGAGAAAGGGGAACACTCTTGCACTGTTGGTGGGAATGTGAACTGGTGCAGCCACTATGGAAAACTGTGTGGAGGTTCCTCAAAGAGTTAAAAATAGATCTGCCCTACGACCCAGCAATTGCACTGCTGATTTACCCCAAAGATACAGATGCAGTGAAACGCCGGGACACCTGCACCCCGATGTTTATAGCAGCAATGTCCACAGTAGCCAAACTGTGGAAAGAGCCTCGGTGTCCATCGAAAGAGGAGTGGATAAAGAAGATGTGGTATATGTATACAATGGAATATTACTCAGCCATTAGAAACGACAAATACCCACCATTTGCTTCAACATGGATGGACCTGGAGGGTATTAGGCTGAATGAAATAAGTCAATTGGAGAAGGACAAACATTATATGGTCTCATTCATTTGGGGAATATAAAAAAATAGTGAAAGGGAATAAAGGGGAAAGGAGAAAAAATAAGTGGGAAATATCAGAAAGGGAGACAGAACATGAGAGACTCCTAATTCTGGGAAATGAACAAGGGGTGGTAGAAAGGGAGGTGGGTGGGGGGTGGGGGTGACTGGGTGATGGGCACTGAGGGGGCACTTGATGGGATGAGCACTGGGTGTTATGCTATATGTTGGCAAATTGAACTCCAATAAAAAAATAAAAAATAATAAAAAAATTGAAAAGAATCTCATGACAAAAACCTTAAAATGAAGGGAAAGTCAGATCCCATAATAGAGGGGAAAAGTCTTTGTGTGATTGTTTCCTAAGAATTAAAGTTACTCCAGCTTCAAAAAAAATTTTTTTTGGCACAGAAGTCCTGAGAAATGTGGCTGGGGTTATGGAGAAGAGTATCCCACTTCCAATCCTCACCTTTGAGGGCTCTCGGGCTGCACCTCCATCCACAGATCAGCCCTTCTCTCCAGAGGAGGAGAACCCTCACCCACCCTGGTGAAGATATGAATGGTTCTTCCCCATGTCTGTTTCCACATTCCAATTAGATGCTTCTGGTGTGTTCTGCATCCGAATAGAAAGAATCACCTTTGACATTCACTCTGTGCTTCCTAGGAACTTGCCAGCTGTGGATGGAGTAAGAAGGAGAAACATAGTCTCGCCCCCAATGTTGTGGCCTTTACCCGGAGGTTTAACCAGGTAAGCAATACTCCTTGCATGTGCCTGAGCAGGTGGTACTCTTGTCCCCTGTGAGTTGGGCAGCCTGTCAGGGTTCAATCCTAGGTATCACGCCTCAGGTCCAAACCCCTCTTCCCAAACTACCCCTCCCATCAGTCCTTTCACAGAGTCCTTTTTCACAGCAGGTGGAACTGAATACATCTTTCCTGGGTTTAAAGCACTCCATTGGCTTCTACTTCCACCTAAGCTAAGACTCAAGCACCTCGATTGCTCTGCAAGTGGGTCTGGTTTCTGTCCACCCCTCTAGCTCCATCTCTTGTCCCTTCCCCCTCTTCCATCCTAGCTGGCCTTACTTCTCTTCCCTGATATGCCAGGCCCCCAGCTGTGATGTCCTCTCAGCTCAGAATTCTTCCTCCCTTTTCACTCCCAGCCTGATCAGCCTGAATGTCACTTCTACAGGGAGTCACTTCTCTCACTTTCCATGACTCCCTAGCTTGTGTGAGGTCTCACTGTTGTGCATTACCTCCCTGCACCCTGTGCTTCTGTCTCCATGTGGCCTGTGCTCATTCTGTGGGACTCTGTCATTTCCCCCTTCCATGCTAATCTGCGGGCTCTATCTTGTTCACCACTGTGCATCCCACCACTTTACCTAATGTCAGGCATATAGTAGACCCTCAGTAAATTGGGCTGTCCCTCAATGGGGCCTCCCTGCTCTGAAGTGCCAGGCCCTATGCATCACCACTGGCCAGCCCTCTCCAGGCTTCCAGCCTTCTCCTTGGCTACCACTCAAGGATGGGGAGAGCCTCAGAGAGGCACCAGCTTTTCATCTGAAGATCAAGACTGTGGTTAGCATTATCATTGTAATAAGAACTAAGGGCCTAAATGCATCTGGAGTAAGGGCTGCTGCATACAGTTTTGAAAAGAGAAGTTCTGAAGCCTTTTGTTTCTTTTTTCTTTCTTTTCAAAATCTTCCTTTTCAACCAAGCTTAGGCTTTAAAAAATAAAACAGATGTGTACACGCTATCAGAGGATTCACAGTTTCCTTTGCAAAACTATTTGATGGGGAGCCAGCCCAGTCCCACCTCTGACCAGCCACAGCCCTCCTGGAGGAGGGTCACCGGAGGAGGGTTACCAGGGGCTCTGATGTAATCTGCATTGTATGCAGAGGCCAGGTCAACTTGTCAGAGGATGGTGCAGCTTGTCCTGTGAACAATTGCATTGTGTCCAGATAAGACCAAGTGGGTGAAGTGAGCCAGAAGGGAAGTTGCATTTTCCCAAACAGAATGCTTTAAGAAATGGTCTGGTTGCCAACCTGTCAGCTACTCAGAGTGAATAGCTTCTGGACACAGCCCTTGTAGCTCTGTAGGTCTGGTTTGAAAACTGGCCAGTGGCCAGCCATGGTCAGCCACTGGGGCTGCTTTCTCTGAAATGAACTGATTGGCATCCTTTCCTGGCAGACTTTTATATGTGAGAACAAGGCTCCTCATCAGACTCCAGGTAAAGGAAAGCAGGTCAGTTACCTTTCTGAGCCTCAGTTTTTTTATCTGTAAATGGGAATAATACTATGGCTAACCATGCACATTCACTGTGGAAATTAAGTGAAGTGTATATGAAGAACTCTTAGCATGGTATCTGGCATGTAGTAAACATCCTAATGTTTTTGGGGAAAATAAGAGGGAACGTGAAGACCAGCTGATTAGAACGAGGGTGCCAGCAGATTTGAGGCTTCTTGTGGCCAAACCAGAAACCTGGTGGACGTGTTGCAATCAAACTCAGTGGGCTTGCCTGTTTTGCTGTGACCTCAGTCCCTTGGGATTTGTTCATATTACTCATAGAGGGATGGAAGGGCCTGGCCAAGTTTCATCACAATACACTGAGTGTGTATTATGGACCAGACTTGTATCTCAGCACCAAGGAGTTCACCATAGAGCACAGAAGTGCTCAGCCTTTTTTGGATCACATGTTCTTTTGAGAATTTGGCTATATATACATATATATGAATGTGCCCCCAGATAATGCAGAGATATATAAATCTGCATTTAATTTTAGTGGGTTCAAGTGCTCACTCCCCAAAATTTGTGCATGAACACTTGAGGGATCTGTGAACAATAGCCTGAGAAGCTGTGGTCGCAGAGAATCACATCTGAGTTCTCGTCTTAGTCCTACAACTTACTAGTTGTCCCATCTTTAATTGTTTTTGACATCCCACCTTATTTATAAAATGGGAAGAATCATTTTAAGTGGTTTTTGAAGATTAAATGAGAATTGTGGATGTAAAGGATTTGGCCCATCACTTGACACATAGTAAATAATTACCATTAGCTTAAAAAAAAAAAAAGAGTGCAGAGTAGTAGGAGCTCTGAGCTAAAAGACACTGAGGCCTGTGACTGATGGCAGCAGAGTTGGAATTGTGTCCTGAAGATGCTGAAGAATTAGGGAAAGATGAGGAGTGAATTGGGAGAACTTGGTTCTGGTCTAGACTCTGCTGCTAGATCTGTTTGAGGCCTTGGGCAAGTCTCTTCCTCTCTTTGGGTCTCAGGACCCTTGTATACTAATCAAGATTGAGTAGGGCCAGAGGTCCCCAATGTTTTGCCCCAGAGAACTGCTTTAACCTTCCTCATGGATTCATATGTATATATACACATATACATATATATATATGCATACATACATATATATACATATATACACACATATATACATACATATACACACATATACATATATACCCATACACACATACACACACATATGTATATGCTTCCTAATGACTGAAACCCTGACCAAACTTGCCTGAGCACTAAAGGGAACTTAATGGCTTACATAACAAAGACCAGGGAGAGATTACACCTCACATATTGCTAGGGACAGCACTAGCTGGCCTTGGCTCTGTTCTATCTCTAAGTTCTACTTTCCTCTGTACTGGCTGTCTTCTTGGGCATCTTCCTCTTCTGTGGCTGCAAGATGGCTGCCAGCAGGTCCTGACTCACATCCTATTCTGAGGGCAGAAAAGTCCTGCCGCCTTTTCAGTAGCTCTGTCATCTGATGTTCAGTTGTTCTAAGTTGTGTCCCATCCTGTTCATCCTGGTTAATCACCCTGACCAGGAACACACAAGGCTCTGGTTGGCCAGATCTTAGAAACAACCCTTCTCATGGAACTAGGGGGTGGGGGGCCTAGGCCACATGGGCTGAGAATGGAGGAATGGTAGTTTCTCAAGGAACTAAGATCTCAGCAAATTGGGAATAGAGGGGAACTTCTTCAACTTGATAAGGGACATCTACAAAAATTCTATAATCAACATCATGCTTGTAAGACATTCGTGATATCCCCCTAAGATTGGGAACAAGGCAAGGATGTGCTCTCTCAACACTTCTATTCAACATTGATCTGGAAGTCTTGGTTAGTGCAATAAGATAAAATTTTAAAAATTGAAGATATACAGTTTGAAAAGGAAGAAATAAAACTGACTTTACTCACAGATGACATGATTGTGTAGAAAATCTCAAAGAAATATGTAAAAATAAAAAAAATTCCTGGAACTAATAACTGTATATCAAGGTTGTAGGACCCAAGATCAATATATAAAAGCTTTCCTATATATAAGCAATGAAGAATTGAAATTTGAAATAGAAATGCCCCCTGCCCCATTTACCACTGCACACACATGCAAAACAAATGCTTAGGTATAAATCTAACAGAGTATATATATATATAGGTTCTATATGTGGAAAGCCACAAAACACTGATGAAAGAAATCAAAGTATACTGAAATACATAGATATTCCATCTTCATAGATTGGAAGACTTAATATTAAGATGTCAGTTCTTCCCAACTTGATGTATAGAGTGAAGTAATCCCAATCAAAATCCTATCAGGCTATTTTATAAATATCAAGAACTGATTCTCAAATTTATGTGGAAAGACTAAAGACAGAATAACCAACACAATACTGAAAAATAACAAATTTGGGGAATTTACTCTACCTGTTTTCAACACTGACAGAAATCAAGATAACATGGTACCGACAAAAGAAAAGACCACCCAGGGCAGTGGAACAGAATAATGAGCCAAGAAATAGACCCACACGGATATAGGAAACTCATCTTTCCCAAACTCATGAGGGCATTCATTAGAGGAAGGGTAATTTCTTTGACAAAATGGTACTGGGACAATTGGAACATTTTTTATGTATGGAAAAAAATGGACCTAGACACAGACAATAGATCTTTCATAAAAATTAACTCAGAATGGCTCATAAACCTAAATGTAGAAGGTAAAATTATAAAACGTATAGGAGAAAGCATAGAAGAAAATCTACATGACCTTTGGTGATGAGTTATTAGATGTAACCCTGAAAGTATAATCCATGAAAGAAGAAACTGATAAGTTAGACTTCACTGAAAGTAGAAATTTCTACTCTGCAAAAGATGCTGATAATAAAATTAAAAGATGAAGCACAGCCTGGGGAAATATTTGCAGGACACCTATCTGATAAAAGAATTGTATCCAAAATAGACTCTTTAAAGTCAATGAGAAGAAAATAACCCAATTAAAAAATGGGCAGAAAATCTGGATACCTCACCAAGGAAGTACAAATAGCAATAAAGATGAAAAGATGCTCAGCGTCATTTGTCACTGGGGAAATGCAAAACACTATGTATCTGTTAGGATAGCTAAAATAAAACAAACAGTGACAGTACCAGTTGCTGGCAAGTATCGAGCAACACAAACTCTCGTTCGTTATTGGTGGGAATCCAGAATGGTAAAATCCAGCAATTGCACTCCTAGATATTTATCCAGCTTCTTAGAAATCTTATGTCTACACACACACACACACACACACACACACACACAACAGCTTTATTCATCATTGTCAAATACCAAAAGTAACTAAGATGTCCTTCAATAGACAAACTGGTAAATCATAGAGTGGAAGAGTATTCATCAAAAAAAAAAGGGGGGGGGGGAGCCCTCAAGCCATATAAAGACACGGATGAATCTTAAATGTTTTTTACTAAG